AAAGAGTGTGCTCTTCGCCCCCTGAAGCACACGAAGCAGGAGACAGACCTCCCTGAAAAGCTTCGGTGAACAGGTGCCTCTGCTTGTGGAAAGCACCTCTGTCTCCTCATTGCTTTTCTGCCCCTTATATCACAGCCTTGTAAAAGGGCGATTCGTTTTGGACAATTAAAGTGATTAACTCACCAGATGTAGGTGCTGGAGCATCTCCACGTATCTGCAGGGGGAAAGAGGTTTGAGTGTGCATTAATTCTCATTCTGTAGAAGCCGGGGAGGGGTGATGTTCTGTTAACAAGCTCAAGGCCACAGGCAGCTGCTTGGGGACTCACGCTTTCTCTGAAGACAGCAGTTCCTGTGCTATGACGTGGGCTCTGGACTGTCCGTCCACCTGTGGGAGGAAACAGAGCCATCAGGAGGGACGGTACCCATGGGGGCAGCAGAAGGGGAATCCCAGCTCCACAAGCATCAGTCAGGTTTATAGAAGGACCGTCACACTGCCGGAGGTGAAATCCACAGGCTTCTCAGGCCACCCCGGCCCTCACTACCTGTGTGATCTTCAGCCTCGCCGCACCCCGGCTGCCTCATCTGTAATGTGGACATTACCAGCATCTAGTGCTCAGCCCAGTGCCTGCTGCGGCCTGCATGCTCGGCCGCCCTCACACCCACGCAGACTCTGCCCACAGCCCGGCAGGTTTTGAACAACCTGCGGTTCTCTGTGCCAAGCGAGCTCTCTCTTCTTGCTTTTTTACATGCTGTCACCTCAGTGTACTCTTCCTTTCTCTGCCTGGCCACCTCCCAGTTATCCTTGGAGACTTAGCCAGGGTGTCTATCACTTCCTCCGAGGAGCACTCCTGATCCCCTCCGCGAACAGGCTGGATTAGGTGTCCTTTCTGGGCAGCCCCCTCTCAGGACACCGATTACATCTCCCCCTGCAGGCAGGCACCGGGAAGTGCACCTCTGCAGGGCAGTGCCCAGCCTGGGGTTGGTCCTCTTTTGTTACTGAAAGAATGAATGAGTGAATGGATGAATGAATGAATGTTCATACCACTTGGGAAGCACTGACTCTCCTGGCTAACCTCAGAAGGTGAGCCATTTAACCCATCTGAACCCCAGCCTCCGCACCTGTGAGATTCGACAATAACTGAGATTTTGTCTATAAACAGGAAGGATGAGCGGGCGCCGAGGCAGAGGCCCGGGCCTTCTGCCACGAGCAACCCTTGTGGCCCCAAACCTGCCGGATATCAGACACACTGCGGTGTATCCGGAAGAGCAGAGACACTATGGGGCAGTGACAGGACAGATGGGGAAAGACACTGGGCCTGTGCAGGTGAGGCTGGGCGGGGGGGGGGGGGGGG